AAAAATAATAAAATCCTTACTTTTTTAATTGATTTTTTAAAGAAATTCTTAAATAATTAAGATAAATATTTAACATCATTAAGAAATTTTAATATATATATATTTTTTTCTTTTTTTAAAGACACTAAATTAAGATTTTTATTTATTAATATAAATAATTAATATAAGCTATTTAAATCTTAAAAGTTAGTTAGAAATATTTATTTATTTATTTCTAAAATTTAAAATAAATTTCGCTTTTAAAAAAAAACAAAGAAAATAAAATAAATAAAGGTATCAAGTTATCTATCAACCCACAGTTAGCTTATCCTGAGCGGAAAGTCAAGTCACATAAGAAAAGAATCAATAAAAATTTTGAGTTAATTTTCTTGTAATTAAGACATTTTGTTGCCTTTACGATTTTTTCTTTTTTTTTCTTTCTTTTTTTTTTAAAAACGAAATTTTTTCTGAGACTTACCGCTATGGACAGACCAACCAATGTAGGAGGCACTAAATGCAGGGCGTGATATATGTCTTCTGTCTCCTGCCTTGCGTACAACATCACTGAAGGGAAAAAAGACAGTTAATTGTCGTGGTCCCTCAAATAATTTTTTTTTTTTTTTTAAATAAATATCTCACTAACTTTAAAAATGCCTCCTCTGTTTAATAAAACTAATCTACCGATTTTTAAACAGTAAAAGTTAAGATCCCACCCTTGACGTAGTTGAAAAATCCTCACCCCTGTGTAATTAAGTATCAAAAGTAAAATTCCCCACCCCTAGTGTTATTAGAAGAGAAGAAAAGGTAAGATTTTTGTTAGAAATTCGTGACCCCCTGTGGAATAATCTATGGATTTTTTAGGGGAGGAAACGATTTTGTAACGCTATTTTAAACTGTCACCGGATATTTTCTTCTTCTTCTTCTTCTTCTTCACTGAAGTTCTTTAAATGGAACGAGACGATTTTGCAACCTAATTGTCGATCTGATTTGAATTAATCACGTTCAACTTCCAACAAACGAAGGCGTGGTTGGATTCTATTTCAGTCAATGTCACACAGGCAGCTGGACCCTGGTTCACCCATGTTAAAACCCAAGGTGAAATTCGCTATCTCGCTATTAGATTTTGTAGTAAAGGATCACGCCCCTAGTTTAGTCAGCACAATTAAAAATCGATTCCTACTTCTAACTTTTATTTCTTTCTTCATTTCAATTAAATTATCTCAGATTGTATTTTAAAACTCAAGGATAAATACGATTCGAATTTCAAGGATTTTCTTTTAAAAATTAAACTAAAGTCAACGTAAACACAAAGAGAATTTTTTAATTTTTTATTTTATTTTTGGAGGAGAAATAATAAAAATCTGTGCAATTCTGTCATCGCTGACATCTCATTTTTTATTGAAATATACGACGAGAGATTCGTAGAGAAAAACAAAATAATTTACACTAGATTAAACTAGAGAAAAATTTAGGCCATTTCTCAGCGTGTAGTGATTGCGATAAGGTCATTAAGCTGTTCAACCACGTACGTTTATTTATTTCCTTTCTCCTTATTTCGGAACAAAATAAATATCGATTTTTATAACTTTCCCATTTTATCTCTTCCTTTATGTAATAAACTAAATCATTTTTTCTTATTTTTCCCCCCTATAAATACCACAAATCTGACTTATAAGTCACAATGCATTAGACTTTACTAAAGTGAAAAAAAAATAAAAAAATACGAATTAAAATATGAGGAATTTCCTTTACATTTTCAATAATAAGTGAAAAATATAAAATGCCAGCCCATATAATAGCAAAAACTTTAGTAATTTATGCTCTAATTTTTAATTAGCTGTAACCATTGTTTTCCTATTGTCTTGCTTAACTTTTTCTTCATAAATTTTGTGTTTATGATAATAATTCTTGCCTAAATTTTGTGTTTATGATGATAATTCTTGCCTAAATTTTGTGTTTATGATGATAATTCTTGCCTAAATTTTGCACTAATGTTTAATCATTATATTGATATTATTTCTCTGAATAAAAGTCACTAAGTATTAATGCAAAATTAATTATTCTTATTTATGTCATACTTTAAAAAAAATAAATATTTGCATAATTTTGCCAAACTTTTGCTATTTTCCTGCACTAATTTTCACTAAATTGAAAAGCAATAACAATCGAATTAATTAATAACTATACTATTATATGCAACAATTGTATCAATTTTAATTAAAAAAAAAAGAAATAAGGGAAAAAATGAAGAATAAAAGTCCAGAAAATTCCCTAAAATGTTCATAAATAATAAAGAAACCTAACTACGGAATAAAGGAAAGAAAATAATTAACTATTTTTAATTGCCAAATTAAAATCTTAGATGATAATTAAGCTTCTTAAATTTCAAAAAAAAAAAAAAAAATCAAATATCTAGTCCTATAAACATGTTATACTCGAGTAATTAATTAATTAAATATATAATTGACTAAATTTTGAATTTATTCACAATTTATAAATTTAACTTGATGAGAGAATAATTAAAAATGACATTCACCTCTATCATTAGAAAACGTTTTAATCCGTTTAGCAGGGGGTAAACTTTGTAATGCTATTTCGACATTTGACCTAACATCCACTGGTGTTTCTCGATGATCTAATCTATAAAATAATAATAATGGTAATAAATTCAGATTTTATGCTTATGATTTAAACTAATTTTTTAAAATAATTAATAATTGTTAATAAAATAAATGAACTAACAATAGTAAATGTTCATTTTAATGACAGAAAAATATAAATAATTTTAATTAAGAGACAGAAAAAGATAAATATGCTCATATATAATGCAAGAGTTTTAATTAAAAAAAATTATTTTAAATACAATCACGTAAACAGCTTTAAAATCTAAGTGATAAACTATATTTTTATTATTTAAATACATTATTCAAAACTAACGATAAAAATTTAAAGGGATTACTTTGATTTATGCTATTAAAATTTAAATATATATATATATATATCCTATTTGTTAAGATAAGCGAATTATTCAAATATATAATTTTTAATAAAAATAAATATGGATGTTATAAATTCAAACAGAGGTAACATCCTTTCACATTAACTTCGATCACGCGAGGTAATTTCGCTAACGGCTAATGACACGACCGAAAAAGGGGCATTGACAAGAGATATTGCTAGAAGGCTTTTCGAGTAGCACGAGATACCAAGAAAAATATCATTCTGATAATGATTTACTATCGTTAAAATATACGATTTTTACAAGTTTTAAAACTAACATACGTTAAATTTTCGGCTTAATATTCTATAAAAATCACGTCCTTATAGATAATGTTAATGCCTCTTAATTAAAATATGTTAACTTATGTAAATTATATATAAAAAACGAAGATAGAAAACTAAATAAATATTTTATAAATAAATACAGTTCGATTTACCCTCCATTACTGTCTTCTGTTACAGGAGTGTGATTTCCATAAAAACCTAAATCCATGTTTGTTACCTGAAAATGTCAAGTGATTTCAAATTTATAATTCTGTTAAAAGTTTAAAGGAAAAAAGAAAGAAAAAAAAATGGTGAATAATTTCTTATTAAACAGGTTGTCTTACTTTATCAAGATCTTCTGTTGGAGTAAATAAAACAGGAGGTTTTAATAAATCACTCATAGAATAAAACTCTGATCTATCACAGGGTGGATGATACATTTCTTCGATTTTCTTTCTCCCGCCTGATGATGATAATAGTAAAAAAATAATTTGTATTTTGTATAAAATATGTATAAATTATTTAAATATAATATTCTATCTATAAATTCCATTAACACATAGTCTCTGATATCATCGAATTATTGAGTAAGTCAAAGTGTTGTTATGGTAAGTATGCCATGAATCTATCCTGTTTCATCCCTTTCAGAGACAACTTAATGTTCCGTTCATGCAAATGTACAGTTCTTATCTACTGAGTAGTCAAATAGTCGGGTCCGGATAGGTTGCTTTAGGCTTCTTAACATAAAATGATGGGGTTTGCAACACATTACCATAAAAAAAAAAAAAAGAAGCTGTATTGAGAAATAGTGTCGACCTTATCTTCAAAGTGTCATTCACTATCGTAGGTCGTTACTTGGATAGTTAAATAATAAAAATAATTGAAACTATTCTATACAGAATTATGTGTATATATATATATATATACACTGTATATTTAAGGGCTATACCTTAAAATGGGAACCATACAGAGATATTTAAGAGCTAGATACATTATTGTCCATCGGTTTTAAACATTTCACCTAAGAAGTTTATGGTTTGTTTCTCCGCCCATTTCGAAGTGTTCTCCCTCTTTCTCTAGTCGTAAAGAATGTGGGTAGGGTTTACAATTTGCCTTAATATCCATAATTTTCTATCTTTAAGATGATGAACTTGTTACTTCTTGGTTTTTCAGAACGAATTAAAGTATAAAATGTCTTTTTTTTTTTTTTAACTGTAAATTTGCTACGAATTTCAAGAGATTCTTTAACAATTGAATTGAAAATTCAGCACGTTTCTCCTTTAAAAATATGTTTCTTTTTATGAATTATTTAAGTGTTATCTGTATCATCTTATACAATGCGTAAGTGCTGAATGTACAGTACAGTACAGTACTATAGCTTACATTACAAGATAATACAGATACATATGTATGAAGGGTTATATGAAGGATTTGTTTTATATGTTTATATCTCTAGATATAATTAAAGAGGGTGAAAAGGGGGGAAAAATAATAAAATGTAACAGGGATACATGTTTATAATAGAATTTATATTTTTCTATTAGTTAAAATTCGTAAAAAAAATAATTAATTTTAAATTACGAATATAATATTTTGCATGCAATTTTATTAAAATAACCCAATTTAATATATTTAAAGTATACAACTCTACACAATAATTTACCAGTATCATACATCCTCAATACTATCATTTTTAAAAAATAATAATGGAGGTAATTTAAAGTATAGTTTGATTCTAAAGCTATTCTTCTATAAATATTGGTATTCACACCATTTCACTCAATCCATTCTTTCATAGAATATAATAAAGAAAAAAAATATTTAAGAATGTTTTAACAATATCCCAATGCTTATTTTAGATCTGACTAAAGATCTAGAAGTTTTACCTATATGTAGAATAGAAATTAGCTACGCCGTCTAACCTGACAAAGAACAGTACAAACAGGAAATTGAATACTTAATGGATATACTTACTTCCTGTTGCTGACATCTTTCTCTTTGCTGCCCGTCTTTCTTCATCTCGGGTTTTCCTTTCAGCTCCCTACAAACATACAGGACAATGCTGTCAATCATACGGTACGTGATTCTATAGTTAATTGCTAGCTAGTGTCATCTTTCCTGTCTTTACAAAAAGATATATGCCTACATAAAAGAGTGATGTGCACTGTAATTTAACGGATGAATAAAGGATACGCGGGTCGTTTTAACAATAAAATATGGCATTTTGATAAGAAATTGCTTTTACCAAACAGGAAACGTCCCACATCTATTACGATAAGGGGATTTAATTTAACTTAAAAAAAAAAAATTAATCAACCCACAAAAAAATAAGGTACACTGCGTTAATATTTTTTTTCCTAATTAAAAACTTTTATTTATGAATATATATCATAGCGTTAAAGTGTTAAATTATTCATATTTTTTTTTTATTTTTTAAATTTTCTAACAAAGATTTATTAATGTAACCAGGCAAACACGCGAATATTATTGCTGTGAATACATCTCTTAACGTTATCTTCTTACTGCAGGTGTCAAAAATTTGTATAGCTGATAGGCATCATTAAAATCGTGCGATCTTCATGAAGGTGACTTTATCATCTAGGAACCCCCTCTGGTGACAAGGTACCTGTAGGAACCAGTCGACTTAAGAGAAAGAAAATAAAAAAAAGAGAGAGAGAGAGAACTTTTGAAGGTGAAACAGTGTTTAATTATAATAGTGCGTGAATGGACTAATAAACGAACGTAGCAACCATCACAGGAAGAAATAAAAGAAGTTTTGAAATTTTTATAGTCGTTTTATTTATTCTAAAAGTAAGATAATTATTAAATTTAATAAATAATTCAGAAGTTTTTTTATTTTTATTTTTTTATGATTCACATTTTTTTAACGGTGATAAACACGAAAGAAAATGTCGAATCCTTGGTAAACATAGAAGAAAATTGAAGCCTGGGGTGATTAAAATCCTATGTTGTTTTGATCCAATATTTTAAAACAAGGTTTCCTTTAGAAAAAATGAGTTTAAGATGAGGATGGAATCTGGTTAAAACGCCAAAATGCGCTTACAATTTACTCGAAGTCGTCGTAGATGCCCCAAGGATCAATGTCCTAAAGTTACCCTCTGACGATGAAGTCGTTATACTGGGTGTCTTTACGACTCAGTAGAGAAACTCGAGACACGACTCCTTTCCGCCGTAACTCATTAAGAAATTAAAGCACGTAAATATATTTGCATACGTGTTCGAAAATGAACTATCGACAATTCTAGTTGTAAAGTCTTTTTCGCCTCCAGATATGTTGTAACATTACAGGAAAGGTAGAAAAAAAAATGGAGGGGGGAATTAAACGAAAGATTAAAAAATATTGTTTTTATTCGCTTGGATAATCGATCAAAATAATAATAAAAAAGAAACACTTGGGTATTTTCTCAGTTTTAAATTATAGAGTGATAAGTTATATAACTCTAACACACGACCCCCCTCTTTCTATAATTGTGATTTTTACTATAGAGAAGCGATGTATCATTTGCATTTTATAAGCTATCGATTAACTTTTAAAACATAAACTTTTTTTTAAAAAAATATAATGTTTTTAAGGTATTTTCCTGAAGCAAAACTTACGATCTTCTACGGACAATGACCTTAAGACAATCAAAACATACCACCTGCTCTGTACATGAAAGATTTTCATAATCTGTTTAGCCGCTTGCTTGACCTTCAACATGATGAATTAATGACGTCACGAAAAATGACGTCCAGATATTCCAATTCGTGCCATGTCGCACTTGCCACAAAGATAAAAATGCGAAGAACCCATAGATCATAGAGAAATTCAAATTTGTCTCTTTTCTCCCATTCTTTGAAATTCTCGAGACAATGTATTTTAAATACAATTGATAAAGGGGTGACCTTTAGTGTGTGTGTTTGTGTTAAGGGTTTAGAAAACTGAAAGGTCGTTTCGTGAATGTGACTTTAAAAATTATAATTTTTTTCTCCTTTAACTCTATGTTTCTTTTTATGAATTATTTAAGTGTTATCTGTATCATCTTATACAATGCGTAAGTGCTGAATGTACAGTACAGTACAGTACTATAGCTTACATTACAAGATAATACAGATACATATGTATGAAGGGTTATATGAAGGATTTGTTTTATATGTTTATATCTCTAGATATAATTAAAGAGGGTGAAAAGGGGGGAAAAATAATAAAATGTAACAGGGATACATGTTTATAATAGAATTTATATTTTTCTATTAGTTAAAATTCGTAAAAAAAATAATTAATTTTAAATTACGAATATAATATTTTGCATGCAATTTTATTAAAATAACCCAATTTAATATATTTAAAGTATACAACTCTACACAATAATTTACCAGTATCATACATCCTCAATACTATCATTTTTAAAAAAATAATAACGGAGGTAATTTAAAGTATAGTTTGATTCTAAAGCTATTCTTCTATAAATATTGGTATTCACACCATTTCACTCAATCCATTCTTTCATAGAATATAATAAAGAAAAAAAATATTTAAGAATGTTTTAACAATATCCCAATGCTTATTTTAGATCTGACTAAAGATCTAGAAGTTTTACCTATATGTAGAATAGAAATTAGCTACGCCGTCTAACCTGACAAAGAACAGTACAAACAGGAAATTGAATACTTAATGGATATACTTACTTCCTGTTGCTGACATCTTTCTCTTTGCTGCCCGTCTTTCTTCATCTCGGGTTTTCCTTTCAGCTCCCTACAAACATACAGGACAATGCTGTCAATCATACGGTACGTGATTCTATAGTTAATTGCTAGCTAGTGTCATCTTTCCTGTCTTTACAAAAAGATATATGCCTACATAAAAGAGTGATGTGCACTGTAATTTAACGGATGAATAAAGGATACGCGGGTCGTTTTAACAATAAAATATGGCATTTTGATAAGAAATTGCTTTTACCAAACAGGAAACGTCCCACATCTATTACGATAAGGGGATTTAATTTAACAGGTAATTTCGCTAACGGCTAATGACACGACCGAAAAAGGGGCATTGACAAGAGATATTGCTAGAAGGCTTTTCGAGTAGCACGAGATACCAAGAAAAATATCATTCTGATAATGATTTACTATCGTTAAAATATACGATTTTTACAAGTTTTAAAACTAACATACGTTAAATTTTCGGCTTAATATTCTATAAAAATCACGTCCTTATAGATAATGTTAATGCCTCTTAATTAAAATATGTTAACTTATGTAAATTATATATAAAAAACGAAGATAGAAAACTAAATAAATATTTTATAAATAAATACAGTTCGATTTACCCTCCATTACTGTCTTCTGTTACAGGAGTGTGATTTCCATAAAAACCTAAATCCATGTTTGTTACCTGAAAATGTCAAGTGATTTCAAATTTATAATTCTGTTAAAAGTTTAAAGGAAAAAAGAAAGAAAAAAAAAATGGTGAATAATTTCTTATTAAACAGGTTGTCTTACTTTATCAAGATCTTCTGTTGGAGTAAATAAAACAGGAGGTTTTAATAAATCACTCATAGAATAAAACTCTGATCTATCACAGGGTGGATGATACATTTCTTCGATTTTCTTTCTCCCGCCTGATGATGATAATAGTAAAAAAATAATTTGTATTTTGTATAAAATATGTATAAATTATTTAAATATAATATTCTATCTATAAATTCCATTAACACATAGTCTCTGATATCATCGAATTATTGAGTAAGTCAAAGTGTTGTTATGGTAAGTATGCCATGAATCTATCCTGTTTCATCCCTTTCAGAGACAACTTAATGTTCCGTTCATGCAAATGTACAGTTCTTATCTACTGAGTAGTCAAATAGTCGGGTCCGGATAGGTTGCTTTAGGCTTCTTAANTTACAGGAAAGGTAAAAAAAAAAATGGAGGGGGGAATTAAACGAAAGATTAAAAAATATTGTTTTTATTCGCTTGGATAATCGATCAAAATAATAATAAAAAAGAAACACTTGGGTATTTTCTCAGTTTTAAATTATAGAGTGATAAGTTATATAACTCTAACACACGACCCCCCTCTTTCTATAATTGTGATTTTTACTATAGAGAAGCGATGTATCATTTGCATTTTATAAGCTATCGATTAACTTTTAAAACATAAACTTTTTTTTAAAAAAATATAATGTTTTTAAGGTATTTTCCTGAAGCAAAACTTACGATCTTCTACGGACAATGACCTTAAGACAATCAAAACATACCACCTGCTCTGTACATGAAAGATTTTCATAATCTGTTTAGCCGCTTGCTTGACCTTCAACATGATGAATTAATGACGTCACGAAAAATGACGTCCAGATATTCCAATTCGTGCCATGTCGCACTTGCCACAAAGATAAAAATGCGAAGAACCCATAGATCATAGAGAAATTCAAATTTGTCTCTTTTCTCCCATTCTTTGAAATTCTCGAGACAATGTATTTTAAATACAATTGATAAAGGGGTGACCTTTAGTGTGTGTGTTTGTGTTAAGGGTTTAGAAAACTGAAAGGTCGTTTCGTGAATGTGACTTTAAAAATTATAATTTTATAATGTTTTATCTCTATTAATTATAGCATTAAATATATAATTTTTTGGATAATTATTATGTGTAAAAAAATAAAATGTTAATTTACTAACTTAAATGCTGTTTAAAATGATAATATCATTAAATTTATAACACGCATCTTTATAGTAATTAAGAGAGTTAATGTGTAATTTTCTTAAAGATGTTAACCGGTTTATTAACAAGAAATCAGTTGAGAAAACTTAGAATTTTTATTAATAAAAATTAACTTTTTGGGTAGATTTTTCTATTTTTTTCTAACGTTAAGACTTAAAACTCTTTTTATCATGACTTAAACTTTAAAAAATTTAGTTCTATATCAATAAATTAACATTATTATTTATATAAATTGCCTATATAAGCATTAGAATGTAAGAAAATTAAAGATTTATCTTGATTTAGCATCAATAGAACACGTAGTTCCGGAGCAATTTAGCACTAAAAATTCTTTGAAATTAGTTTAGAATGATATAAAAATTTATTCTATAGTAAAGTATATAAACTAAATTATTTAATGGCGTATTTAAATATACAGAGAAGAGTAAAAAAGATTCAAAAATATGATAAAAAGTCGACGTCCGTGAAGTAAAGAATAACTAGAAAATTGGTGCATATAAGCTTGCAACATCATAACTCTTTACTCAAATTATCCAATTCAAGCAAATTTCTTTGCATAATATAAATCATACCGGTCTGTTTAGATGAAATACAAGTTACACGCTTGAAGTAACCGGAAATATTATTTTTAACAATAAAAAATTGGGGGGGGGGAAATTTTTTTTAGCGTTGTTACTAGATCGAAACATTACACAGATACGTAGAAATGTGTGTTATAAACACGTTTATTACCTTTATAAACTCGTTATCAAAGTAAAAAATTTATAAAATTAGTTTGTTACAAGAAAATATTTTGCCAATGGGTCCTTACCTTATCACAGAAGACTTTAATTTGGCAATATCCTCGATGGGTTGGCGTGCTGTTTTCTCGATACTCATCAAAAGTATCGATTTGTAAATGAAGCGGAAGACCCTAAAAATAATTAAAAATAAATAAATTTATTTAATGTTAAAATTTTCATACGATTTACGAAAATTTCGTTTAATCTAATTGATCAATATTCAAGTGAGTTTTGAGCAAATTTGGCAAAGTGAAACTGGTCTTTGCAGGTGTTATAAAGTTCAGAATTATAACTTGAATGATGATTTCCTGTGTTTGTTATCTCTACAGCCTAATTTGCTACCTACACATGATAACTTTTGCTGGCTCCATTCCAAATAAATCAGTCAATTAAACCCTATCTTACTTATAAGTATACATCTAATTGTACTGTATGTTTTCAATGGATTTCAAATGGGAATTTCACTATGTTCTGCTTCAAATATTAAATCAATATATGTAGTACTTGTATAACTTTCAACTTTAATAACTTTGAATGTATACATGATAGAAACATACAGTAAAAGGAATATAAAAGCTTTATTCCTGAAGTATTTAATTATTATTATTGTTAATTTTAGATCCTTTAACTGTGAAAAGGTTTAACTGTGCTCCAAAATTGAAATTCATAACACCTATGAGATACAATTAGACTAAGAATTAAGCTTTTATATGCTCTTTACATTATATTTCTATCAGGTGTAAATCAAATTTATTAAAGTTTAAAGGACCTATATCATATATTTTGTATATAGTCGCATAGAAGCATTATATAAGTGTGAGTGATTGTGTGCATTTATACGGCTCTATAGCTTACAGAAAATGAATTATAAGAGCTATACATATTGCCTTGGAATCATCTTTTATCCCACATAAATTCAAACCATATAACTAATGTAAATATACTTGATCACTTATGTAATACTCCATGTAACTCATATATTCTAAATAATTACTTCTCTCATAATTCTTGCCTCTAAACTACTCATTAAACTCACGCAATTGATAATATGGATCTTCGAAAGCCATATAACTCACGATTTAAGCAGTAAATTTAAAGGATTAGTACCATAATTTAATACATTTAAACTGACTCTAGGCACTTAAAATAATACACAAAGATAAAATTACTATATAAACTAACACAGTAACTTTAAATTTCAACGTTTTTGAACTTTGCCATCCTCCATATATATATAGCCTATATATAGGACTATATAAAGATAGGTTTCTACATTTTTAAAGATACATTTCTATACATTTATATCAAATAAATGATTGTAAAGCACGAGAAGAGTATGAGTTGCAAACAATATATCTTTTGACAATATGCAAAACGAGTTAAAATATTTATTCAGGCCAACTTAAGTGGCAATATAAGAAACACACACCCTATAATTGTATAAGATATTACGAAGTGTACAATGAGTAAATCTAACTTTGCCACTTACAAGAGAGTCGTACAAATTACACGTTATGTTATTCCTAACAACAAAATGTCGCAGAAGAACTTTAAAGCACGAAAACCCTTGACAGAAAGTAATAATTATGAATAGTTTACACCCTTCAGCAAACGTGTTTCCTTTTAACAAGATCTAATTATAGTGAATTAAAAATGTAAAAAAAAATAAATAAACCTTAAAATATTTAAAAACTTAAATATTTAAATAATAATAATAATTTAATCTTTTACGACTAAAAATAATTAAGATTTAACGCCCGTATGCCAACAAAATTAGTAAATTAAAAGACTTTAACGATGTTTTTACGTTAAATATTTATCGATTTTTTTTTAGGGGATGAAAAATTGCATTTTGAAGCTTTTTTATAACGTGTATAAAACAATTATGTACACTATAAATCAATAAATATACTGATAAATTAAACATTTTACGGGTTAACTGATAAGTCGACGTTTAAAATTCGCTTTTAGTAGGGTAGAATTAAATTTTAAACAGGTGAGAGGGAGCGTGTAATTTACCTTAACGCCCTTTTGATTGCTGAAATCTGTACTTAGGCACTGAACTGCTATATTCACCTGAAAGAAATTAGAAAAAAAAAAACATTTTTTTTTAAATATGTAGGATGTTTTTAATGATTTTTATGAGATATTATATAAATTTATTAAATATTATGTTTAAAATTAATTTTTTTATGTAGTAAACAGTGTAAATAACTTCAATCTATAATAAACAATTCATCAAAAATTCGTGTAAAAATTAGAAAATAAATCACTCTGACAGAAATTAATGTTGATTAAAACATAAATTTATATAAATTATTAAACAAATGAATTATTTTTAAATAGATAATTCATTTAATAAGGTAAAAATTTAATTGTAAATCTAATTAATTGAGTCAATTAAAGTTTAATGTTAATTTACCTACGAATAAGCTTATAAATTTGTATATAAGAAAGGCATTTTTATCACGTATTGGCACAAATCTTAAAGAAATTATATTGAATAACACGTTTCTTAAGATGATTGAAAGGAAAATATAAAGATAACCTTTTCAAAAAGTGGGATAGTTAAATTAAAAATGCAGATGAAGGACTACACGTAAAATAGGACCTTACCTTAGCTGGGCTTTCCATTGGATTCCAGTAGAAAGCTATGGCATTATGAGTAATTTCTTCAATTTGTCCAATTATTCCCGAACTATTCTTCGTATCTATAAAGTAAAATAGAAAAATTACAAAATTTAAATTCATAAAAAGTCATTAAAAAATTTTTTTAAAAGATATAAAAGAGGGATAATTTTCTATATTCAAAACACGTTTGTGTACTACTCATTGTTTCTCAGCAGGACCTGGTAATTTTTGTTGGTTTGGAGATCTAATCGGAGCATAAAATGAGGGAGTGAAGTGATGGGACAGACAAGGCCACCCTTGTGAGCTTAACAAAGGTTAGACTTTAAAAAAAAAATCCCTATTGTTGTTTCCATTAGTTAACAACTAGTACAGTCGCTTATTTGTTGATGAGATAATAAGAGGAACCAATGCTAAAGTTTTATTCTTAAGTTATTATCTATAAGAGAAAATTGGTTTAAGTATATCTATTGCCTGATAAGGGTTGTTTGTATGCTTGCCTTTCTTTCTATACGTATTTTTTTTTTATACTAAACTCAGTTAAATCAATGATAGATAAGAAGAAGTTTAGCTGAATCGAGCTGTTGTAGCTTAGTTTCTTCAACACTTATCGTAACAGTATACTTAAATTATGATTATTTCCTGTTTAAATTTATTAATTTAGTATATAATTTAGCCATATATTCAATTTCTGATAAGTAAACTTACTGGTATAAGCCGTTCTGAATGTATCCCAGATTAATTATTTTAAAAAAAAAAACAAACTATAAATCATAATAAGATCCGGAAGAGACTTATGATCTACACAAAGAAATGTTCACGAATTCAAACTAAAAATATATGTAATTGTTACCTTGAACTAGATTCGACTGCGTGACAAACTAAACATTAAAATTCAGTTGAAAATTCTAGAGAGCAAGTGTCAAGTTGATGAAGATAAGTAGCATAAGAACCATTAAGGCTATATCCACACCTATATATGTGTGTAAGTGCATCAAATATATTGTATAGGTGTTCTTTTTTTTTTTTTTTTTGTTTCTTTATTTCTATCGTGTTTAGTTTTATCGACACGGAATGTAATTATGTAGACTCTAGTTAAGATCTACTTTTTATGAATGTTAAATACCGCGTGACATACGAACGTGCTAATTAAATCAACCTTTCTGAGTGGTTTTCTTTTAAAATTAACGTTTTATCTGTCAGAAAATAAGATATTTAAAGTTCTTATTATCATAAAATATTAAAAATATTTGACTTAAAACAACATACTTATCTATAAATTCCATTTCGTTTTTGCAGCATTAAAAATCAAATTTTATTTTTTAAAATCTAAGTTTTTCTTATAGTTTAATTTATTAAATATTTATTTTAATTTAAAATTTAATAGTAAATTTATTTGAAAATAAACTTACCCGCGTCTAATATTCGTTGTTTAACACTATGTTGTCTACTGTGCCAAAATTGCCAAGCCTTGTTTTCGTCTTCGTGTGATTTTTCTTCTCTAAAAACTAACATCACCACCGACTAAATTAAATAAATTAAATATTTAACATCAAAATAAACGAAAATACAGTTTAATTTATTAAAAAAAGCGTGTATTTTTACTGTAAATTGTATCTTAAATTCTAAGTATTCTTATCATAAATTCATAGTATATTCTAAAAATAGAACATGGCTGTGATTATAAACTTTAATTAATTTCAATTCTTAAATTCAAAACAACCACATCTTGCAAATTTATTTAGTTCTAGTTAAAAAAATACCTTACTTTACATTCAGATATATTATACAACACTTCAGGTACAGGTACAGTACTGTATGTACTTCAAGAACACCTTAAATTTGTGGTTACTCTTACCTCGAATTAAAGTTCTATATATAAAATCTTTATANTTAAAGTGTTAAATTATTCATATTTTTTTTTTATTTTTTAAATTTTCTAACAAAGATTTATTAATGTAACCAGGCAAACACGCGAATATTATTGCTGTGAATACATCTCTTAACGTTATCTTCTTACTGCAGGTGTCAAAAATTTGTATAGCTGATAGGCATCATTAAAATCGTGCGATCTTCATGAAGGTGACTTTATCATCTAGGAACCCCCTCTGGTGACAAGGTACCTGTAGGAACCAGTCGACTTAAGAGAAAGAAAATAAAAAAAAGAGAGAGAGAGAGAACTTTTGAAGGTGAAACAGTGTTTAATTATAATAGTGCGTGAATGGACTAATAAACGAACGTAGCAACCATCACAGGAAGAAATAAAAGAAGTTTTGAAATTTTTATAGTCGTTTTATTTATTCTAAAAGTAAGATAATTATTAAATTTACTGCTAGACGAGAAAATCTTTAGCTTCGTTTCTAACAATTACAATTAATATATTATCTATTCTTATGAAAAATATTCAAGGAAATTAATAAAATTTAAGTACATTTAATTAATAATCACCATTTACAATTACTAATTGCTCCAATTGATATATAACCGAGAGATTTAACAGTGATTATTAGACGTCAGAAGAAAGAAAGTAAACCAGTTGCTAGCTAAGTCGATTGTCTGCAAAATCGGTAGGTGGTCTATAGTAGAATCGAACTAGTGGTTGGTCCTAGGATTAATCTACAGGACATACTCTCTTTCTCATTAATCATCTTTCCAAAAGACCTACCCATACAGCCAAGCCCTATATAAACCCGTGACTGACCTATTAATCAGGCGAGATCACACGGCAATAACTGATTATTCTTCTCAACAAAAATAGTTAGAAATCTTTACTTGAATACTAATTCTAATACTAAAAATGATGAAGATATATATACACGTAAGAATTTATCTCATTACTTAAATTTGGACAAATCCCGGATGTGTGTGTGTGTCTGTCCTTCACGAAAACACCCTCCCAGAAAAAAAATAAAAATGAGTTTCGAACTTCTAAACACATTTGTCACTTAGCCAACGCCTTTAACTGATACTATTTTAAAATTCCGACGAAGTATGGGGACTACATAAATATAATTTTGACCCAAATGACCCATAAAAGCAGATACTCCTCGACTCTATTCAATATTGGTTCTTGATATCACGATTCGCGACTATTGCCAAGATCGTGGACGGAGAAACCTTGACTTCTTTCGAGATGCTATTGTCGCAAGGGTTCACTTGATTTGACCTCATGGAGTGAAACACCCTCTCTGTCCGGCTATTATAATTGGTAGGTCAGTAAGCATTGACTTCTGTCATAATGGTGATTGAGTAAATAAGCTTCTATCTTCTAACAAGACAATATGTAACTTTGTTCCAATGGTAATTTGTTTACGACGAATTTTCATCTCTCAGAAACCTCATTGAATTTCTTAAAAACTTAGTCGAATCTCTCAAGAACTACTCTTATCTCAGAAACCTCCTTGGAACTTCTTTGAAACTTCTTCGGATCTTATCAGAAACCACCTTGAATCTCCCAAAAACCCCTCTTTATCTCTCGGAAACTTCCTTGGATCTTCTCAGAGTCTCCTTGAATCTTTTCAGAACCTCCTTGAATCTTCTCAGAGCCTCCTTGAATCTTTTCAGAACCTCCTTGAGAATCTTCTCAGAACCTCCTTGAATCTTCTCAGAACCTCCTTGAATCTTCTCAGAACCTCCTTGGATCTCTCAGAAACCGCTCTGAATTTCTTGAATCTCTCAAAAACCTACTTGAATCTCTCAAAAACTCTCTCTTATCTCTCAGAAACCTCCTCGGATCTCTTAGAAACCACCTTGGATCTCTTAAAATTTATTAAGTGGCATATTTTAGATGAAAAATTGTAACGTAAAATAAGAGAAAAAAATAATTTAATTTTCTATTTTTTAAATCAGTTCGTTGAAAAATTTAAATTATGACAGGCAAAATTGCATCCTTACAAGATTACACGAAATGCTTCAATTTATAAAATAATATGAAGAAAATTACAGAACTGGATTTGCTAGAATTGCTCAATCTTTGAATTTGTTAGACTTACAAATAGAAGATAGCGAAAGGAAGTAAAATTCGTTATGCAATGTTGAGGCTATTAGGGTGAAAGATGCGAATTTTATAATTAATCATACTGACAGTAAATATTCTAAGATAATGTATAACATTAAAAAATTGCAGTAAACAACACCAGAATGAATTTTAATGAAGATTTTTCTATTTAAAAGTATTAATTTTGATTGTTCTAGAATATTTTTATCCCATTTTCCCACAATTTAAAGACTTATTGTATAAAGATTTGAAGTTACTTGAGGCTTTTAAGGTTTTAAATAGAGCTACAATTTACTTGAAAATGCAGCTTACAAGCTATCTTTTTGACATTAGTCAAAAGAAATTAATTATTTTAACTTAAAATAGGCCATCCTACGTAGTTTTAAAAGGGAAACGACAAGAATACGAAATAGTTTTGTAGAAATTAATACCTTGAAATCAATGTTTTAATAGATGTAAAATCTAAATATTTGGATCTATTAATTAGATTTTTATGCATATTATACAAGAAAAAAATTGTTAATAAATTATTTAATAAACCATTAAGGTCAGAAGAATGTCTAGAAGTATTTTCTAATGAAAAAAATAATAATTTTCTCTGGAAATTTAGAATGTTTCAGTAAAGTTTTCTGTATTTGAAAGCGGATCGAGCCGTTTAAACTATAGAAATTTGGCAAAAAATAAGATAAAATTATTTAATTTTTAAATATTTATACATTTTAAAATATTTTTCTCATTAATAAATGAAAGAAATGTTTTTTTTTCCTTACATAACTGTACAATGAATTAGGGTGTTAGGCTTTATTCTCTTCCTATTGAGTTAGATTTAGGCTATGTCTAGACAGGGTCGTGTATGATTGATTAAATTGCATTCATTACATCTATGTGACGATAGGACAAGTGGACAGCGTCCAAGACCTTTCACCTATAAACTTGGTCGCTAAATAAACAGAATTATAGCCATGGCCTCATTTACATACCGTACCCAATCTAGCCATGACCCTTTGTTACTAGCACGCGCCAAAATTGACGCCCACCTTTGCAATTTCCTAGTGGTTAGAAACTATTCTGGCTCTTTTCTAGCCAGAGTTGTGATAAGTGTAATCTAGACCTTTTTTTTCCCCAAAGGTTAAGCGACCTTTGTACCAGGTACGAAGTCTGTATAAAGGGAACGTATGCTATATACATCTCTCCTTGATTTATAATTAATTACTTCCATTTAAATAGATATTAAATCCATTAAAAAAACAAATTATCGACAATTTTTCACGCCTTATTTCTTAATTCTTTCCTGGTTCATTAGTATAAAAACTTTTATGAATCGTGTAAGGGAGGGAGGAAGAAAGATTTTAGAGGATGGGAGTGTAATTCTAAGTGCTTAAACTGTGAAAAATAATAAATTTTTTGACGAGGAAGCATGAGAATAAACAAATAAAGTTCTCGTAATATCAGTTTAATCTGAAACAAAGAGTTTTAGGATCAAAGGTGAAGGTAAGGAAGGTGTTGATGTGTCATGTTAAGAGGACTACAAGTTGAACCTTTTGCCATTTTCTTGTCATCGAGTCAGTTATCTTCACACTCATACGATTCACGAAGCACTTTATCTGTGCAATAAACGTCTTTTCATATATAAAAATAGTTTTTTAATACATTATTTTATGATTCATTTCACTTTACTTTCCATTAGATAAGTAAAACATTGCCTGAATTAATAATTATTATAAGTTAGAGGTATCAGAAACAAGTATTTATGGCGTAGTATATGTTTAAAAAAAAACGAAAGAATGAAACCAATCAGAATGTTCAGTAGACAATTTTTAAAAGGTTTTATTATTAAACGTGACTAATATTTAAGTTGTTTTGATAAATATTCCTTAGGTACAAGCCATAAATCTGCTGTCTCCTTTCATTAAGTGTGATTATAAAGTCGTAAAATAAAAAGTTTGAGCATGTTGTATCTCGAAATTACAAATATTTATAGCGAAATTCTTGCAAGACGGTTGCAGAGTTGTCGTTTATTATAGAGAAAAGAACTACAACAATCCCCCCTCCCCCGAATCACCCTCTTATTTCTTTTTTTCTTTCGTAAAGAATTTAATTTTATCTCTACCAAAATAATTCATAAATATTTATTATTATTTATGGATTTTTTTTCGGTTATTAAGAGTTGTATTTTGTCCTGAAACCTATATGAAGCTCTCATCTAAAATGACTTTGCATTAAAGTCAAGCTACTTTATTAAGATATAAGCTCTAATTAATTTCTTAAGATGTTCGAGACGATTATCTTTAGCATCTTTAGATGATGAAATATTAAATTTAATCTTATTAATTATTAGATTCTAATGACTATAGAAGGAAATTATACATAAATTAGTAAAATATTAAATTTATTTATAAGTTACATAAAGGCTTGTGAATTCTATGATGATGATCATTTTAACATTTTAAATAAATTAACTTAATTTACCTTCAAAATAAAAACACTTTTTTTCACTTTCTGAAGCATTCTAAAGGCTCTAAATCATTTAAAATCAATAGAATACTTGTTATAACAACACAAGAATAATTAAAATTTTAAAAAGAAACAGATTTACTTTCATTTATCAGCAAGATTTTATATAATTATATCATTATGTCTACGTAATTAACTATATTTACTGCTTTTTATACATAAATTAACCAGTAAACAACTTTAAAATTTACTTAAAATCTATAAATGTAGGTTGAAGTATAGTAAAGCAGCCACCCAATATATGGTTTAAGTACTTTTAAATTCAATTATTTTAGTAATTTTATGAACTAATTTTTATCCTTATTTTATTTTTTGGCTTTAAACTCTATCAAAATTTTAAATCTCTATAGTTTTATATCAAGAAGAATCAATCAATCAACAACGATAAATAATACTAACAACTCCCTCCTCTATCAAGAAGAAACTTAAAAATAGATAATTAATATAATTTAAAATAAATTAAGATACTTTATACGATTCTTTTCTTATCTGTATCAAAGGATTTTTATCAAAGAATGCTAAATTTTCAAAGAATAATGACTATAATTAACGAGTGACATACGTGATGGTCTTTGTAAAATTACAACGATAAATGGAGTTTTTATATGCTTTTTAGATACTATAACAGGGTGTGGTGTAGAAAATAAATAAATTCCTATTAAATACTATCAAATATTACGATAATTATTTATTTTCAAACTATATTTTTGCATATTATCTATACTTAAAAAGAATGGTTTATAGTATACCATGTCTTATCTTTAAATCAGTTGTTATATAATATTAAATATATTTTATTAAGCATATAAGGAAAAGTAAAGGAAAAAAAAAAATAGAATGTAAAATAAATTTAGATATCAATAAAACTTTTGACGTTATCAACTAAAATTAGACACTTTGTTGAAGCTGAGGGGAGAAAAAATTATGTAGAAGTAACAGCTACTAACTGGCATAGACTCGAAAATAATTTTATAAATCAAGTTTTTTTTTTTTTTTCTGGTAACACTTTCGCATTTCCTTTATCTACTGACGAAGATTTATTTAGAAAATCGAATCTTATTTATTACATTAATACATTTAAGATAAGCCAACTTCTTATCAACGCTAAGGGCCATTCACACTAACTGTCTCGACCAGTTCTTTGCATGCTGCGGGGGTGTTTATTCCCCTTAAATACGCCCCTAACTCTGCCCTTTCTAAGCTCCTGGGCGTTCTCAGTGGTCGATCTGATGATGATTAAACTGATGTACAAAGGCCATAATCACTTGATGAATTTACAACAGTTTTATATCCCTTTGAGCACTTGACACGAAATCATACCAGGATATTTTTCACGTGAACTTGGAAAAAATCGTGTATTACTTATTTCCAATTCTTAAAAAAATATGTTTATTATATCAAGAAACTACTTCTTAATTCAGGTTTTATGTAAATTATATTTAAATTTAATATCTTGCGGTTACTTAAATAATTAAAAGAATTGAACTTTTGTGTTATAGTTTTAAGCAAAGTACTGTACAACAATATTTGTATAATACGAGTTTTTATAAAATTATATAAACGTTAAATACTTAAGCTATATATTTTAAAGCATTTTAAACGTTTAAAATGCGCGTTAACACGTCGACAGGAATAAACAGCTGTTGAATTTAAGGCCAATTATATAGACCTTTAAACGTTTATAGACATTAAAATTACTTTAAAAAAACATATAAAAAGGTTTATAAAACGTTAAATATCGAAAAAATGTAGTCATATATATGAAATAAACTTATAATTTAAGTCTATGAAAACCGAAATTTGCTAGAAAATTAAAGAATTTTAACCATAAAAGCTAATTTTAATTCACGAAACCGATTATAAACATTCAAAGCTCGTATATTTTTTAATCAGTTTACCCATTTTTCATAAGATTTTATCATAAATCGCATTAAAAAAAATCGCCTTCGAATAAGGAAAAATGGACTATCGGAGGTTAAATTTTAAATTTGGATTATATCATTAATTTTCGAGATCCGGTTACAGAGTATTATAAGCACAAAAGAGAAAAAAAGATCACAACCAAATGGAACCATTACCTTCACAGTTGGAGATCGCAGCGGTTTGTCGGGATCTGGTATGTATTCGACTGTGATGCCATAGAATTGACCTGAGTATGCAAAGAATAAACATCAGTTATAATGTTTATTGGATAAGCATAAAGAATTCTTAATAAACAAAGCTCTGTACCTTTGTTGATGTAGCTTATTCTATCATCTTCTCTCCTTTGGCTCGTTGAAATTGGAGACTCCAAGTAATATCGAAAACCGGTATCCGAATGGCTACAAGAAGAATTGAGATGATTATAAGAGGAAACAATAGAGAATTCTGAGATATAACTATAAAAATTTCCATAAAATTCTGTAAAATAACGCTGTAATTGCTCAGTGATGAATTGCAAAGAATTTCATCTAATGATGTCTCGTGTGTATTTATGTATATGGGAAAAAATACATTAATAAAAATTATTTATAATAGTTTTAAAATTAATTTTTCTAAGAAAATGTTCTGTAAAATGTCTACTTTCGTATGCAATAATAATTTCTTAACGTTATCAAATATTTATTTTGCTTAAACTCAATTCTTAATTGTCTTTCGTTAATGAATTGTCCTTTGAAATTACAATAAATTAATCTTTTATAATAAAAAAAATTACATTTTATTGTGTACATTTAATTTTAAAACTTAAAACCCTTTAATAAATACAATTTTCAAAGAAACACGCAAAAAAATCGACTTAAATTAAGAATTTTACACAATAAATTAGCCTGTTAGTTGAGGATTTTTCTCCATTACCTTAACCAAAAATTGCTAAAATTAACAATATAATTAACTTTTTTACGCTTCTTTTATATAAAATTCATTTATATATAAATAAATTTATATATAAAATCCGGAAATATTCATATTAATCGACATTTATAACTATAAACGAACTAGATTCCCTCTGTCTTTTTTCTCCCCCCTCTAAGCTCGCACAGAGTATAGGTTACACCAAGTGAAACCTGACTAAATCTTTTAAAAATTTTTCTATTGATTTAAAAACCAGTTAGTAGATTCAATCATCAAAAATCACGAGTAAGATAAGACGTAACTAGTTATAGCATCATTTATCCACCGTTGGAGCGCTATATAGTTAAAAGACTATTGGTGATTTCACAGCTGGTTGCACTGCGGGGTATAACAGGAATCACGCTGATATCAACTCGTTTACTCACACCCTGTCGATTAAACAATCTTAAAAGAAAAATAAATAAATAAGAATTACTATAGACTACTCTCTCTCTCTCTAGTTTATAACTAAAGATTTCATCAGAAAGACATTGAGAAAAGAAGGTTTTGAAAGTCACGTCTATAAAACAAAAATGGGCCGATGTAACCTTGGCCTCACAAAATGTAGAAGATACAAAGTGTAATTTAGATTGTTGTACGTTTCTCTAAACATCATGTTTAATTCCTAGCTCTTACGCTGCATCGGTTTATCTGATTCACGATAGGCAATGATACCAAAACATATTCAAGGTTTGTATGAAGCGATATGATTGTATATCGCATATTCGTGTTGTGTTCACCAGCACGTTTCGTTTACTCTCCTAGAAAAACAATTTTTTTTATAAAGTAAATAAACATTTATAATGTTTAAATAATAATCTAAACATTAATATATGTATATCGGTTTGTAATCTTATATCTTCGATGGGAATTCCTAAAATTATCATGATTAAAGAGAGTAAGAAATGATTAATTTCTATTAAAAATACCGAAAGATTTTTTTGTAGATTTCTTAAGAGATTTATAGTACTTACAGTTTAGGAATTTGTATTTTGTCAGTTTCGGAATTTCTTCCATAATCGTGCCAAGATTTTCTATTCGATTGAGTTTGTCCAGTTCTTATTGTTGGAGTCGTTTGTGGATCGTTGGGATGAAGTAAGGTTTGCGTTTGTGGTAATTCGTTATATTCAAAAATCTAGAAATTAAAATTGATATTAATTATTAAACATATTAAATAATCAATTTCGAATTAATTTAACATATAAATTAATTTATTTTTCCAGATATTTGAGTCATTTCGCCTTATTAAACAACGCTTCACTTCTTTGAATTATATCATCACTACGCGAATTATATACGTCTTTACTAAATTTAAATTACGTCACACGGCAATAAAACACGCGAATGAAGTCTTTTTTAAGATAAAGACTATAAATTTTAGAATTAAAACGCTTAATTTCAAAAGAAATAAATACATTTTAAAGTACGGTTGGCATCTAAACAGCACTTTTACATACAAAATATATTTTTTTTTAATTTTAAAAAAATTTATCATTAAATTTTTATTAGAATATTCATCAAAAAATCTTGGTAGTATTTATCAAAAGATTTTAGGGTTCAACGAATCTTTGTGTCAACAGGACCAGTCTTAGTGATGAGGTTCCGCCAATGTCAAGGACAGGGTGATGGCCATCTGTCTCCAAGGGGCAGACATTAAAAAAATTTGAAGGAAAAAAAAACTTTTTTTAACTACTCGAAAATGCTATTTACCTTTAGCAACAGGCCAGTGGCCGTAGGTACAAGCCCTAAAGGTTTAAATATTCTATGGACGTTGTACTACCTCATTTCCTTGGCTGATAACCTTTACACGTTTACTGATGATTTGCTGATTGAATGTTAAAATTTTTTCCTTTTTTTTAATATTTATCGATTTAAATTTTTTAAGATTTTTTTAAAGGAAAATAGGTTTAAAAGCACGTAGGATTTTTATATAAAAACTTTATAAAATTAATTTTATATTTTATCAAATGTTTATGCTTCGAAGAGTTTTCTTTCGTGTTGTGCAAAAATTTTAATTAAATTTTTTTAACATTTAATTTAAATAAAACTATACTACGTGAATTTATTTTTAATTACATTTCTAATTTTTTTTCTTTTTTAAATTTTAAATTTAAAATATTTAGTTTTAATTCGAATTTAAGTATAAAAATTTAATTCATAATTTCCATTTTTAATTAATTTTTAACAAAAATTTATAGGATAAAGATTAAAGTTTTAATAAGCTTTTCATATCTGGTATCGACTTTCGTCTGTCTAACATCGTTTTCGAGATTAAGGAAGGACAAACAGACATACGAATGGGTGACAATGGGAATTTATAGATCTAAAATTTTTTTTTTCAAATTTCAGCCCAAAAAGACAAATTTTATACGAAAATATTAAAATTTTATTTTAAAAAATTCTATTAGTTATAAAAATTAATATTTTTAAACTTATTCAAAAGTGAAAATTTAAATTAGAATCATAAAACATTTTCTAATTACAACCTTTTAAAAATGAACAAATTTTTGCTATTTTCGCAGGAATTTTTGTTAACTTTTATTTATTTTTCACGAAGTAATTAATTTTTAAAGCACATTATTTATTATTCAATGTTTGTTCTACAACAATCTGTAAATAATGAGCTTAGTAATGGAAAACGCATGAGAGAGAGAGAGAGAGTTACTTAAACTTTCAAGAAAAACTTGCGCCAAGAATAATAATAATAATTCATGAGATTTTACCAATTAAAATGTTAAAAAATACTCTAAAGGAGCTTATTATTTTGTTTATTTATTTATTTTTCAATTAATATTTTGTCATTTATCAAATTTCGATGCTATTTGTAACACGATACACTTTATGAAATATTAAGAATTGTAATTGGAAAAATGCCTTTTTAACTGATATATTTAACGAATGATTACTTGTTCTAATCAAAAATTAAATAGAAATGTTAAATCAAGTCCCGTGATGGGTGTACAAAATGAATTTAGTCAATGGGTGGAACGTAAAACCCTCATCTAACGTTATTAATCATTATTTGTTACTCTATTTCTTGTATACTTCTTCAAACTATACGGAGGAATTTAGCGCTTTAAAGTGCTTAAAATAAACCAAATTTTAGTTTTTAATGTTAANGATTATTAGCCATTTAACAGGTTAAAATTAAAAATGGAACAGGATAAAGGTAACAAAATCAGATAAATAATTCTTGTATTATTAGATGACTAATTTAAAATACTTTTTAAACATAAAAACGCTCATAAAATCAACTTAAGTGATATGTTACTTTACAAAAAAAAATAATAATAATAATGTAATTAATAAAAGATTAATATACGTAATAGAATAAACTATGTATAAAGTTAACAATATAAATAAATTTATATATAAATAAATTTATATATAAAATCCGGAAATATTCATATTAATCGACATTTATAACTATAAACGAACTAGATTCCCTCTGTCTTTTTTCTCCCCCCTCTAAGCTCGCACAGAGTATAGGTTACACCAAGTGAAACCTGACTAAATCTTTTAAAAATTTTTCTATTGATTTAAAAACCAGTTAGTAGATTCAATCATCAAAAATCACGAGTAAGATAAGACGTAACTAGTTATAGCATCATTTATCCACCGTTGGAGCGCTATATAGTTAAAAGACTATTGGTGATTTCACAGCTGGTTGCACTGCGGGGTATAACAGGAATCACGCTGATATCAACTCGTTTACTCACACCCTGTCGATTAAACAATCTTAAAAGAAAAATAAATAAATAAGAATTACTATAGACTACTCTCTCTCTCTCTAGTTTATAACTAAAGATTTCATCAGAAAGACATTGAGAAAAGAAGGTTTTGAAAGTCACGTCTATAAAACAAAAATGGGCCGATGTAACCTTGGCCTCACAAAATGTAGAAGATACAAAGTGTAATTTAGATTGTTGTACGTTTCTCTAAACATCATGTTTAATTCCTAGCTCTTACGCTGCATCGGTTTATCTGATTCACGATAGGCAATGATACCAAAACATATTCAAGGTTTGTATGAAGCGATATGATTGTATATCGCATATTCGTGTTGTGTTCACCAGCACGTTTCGTTTACTCTCCTAGAAAAACAATTTTTTTTATAAAGTAAATAAACATTTATAATGTTTAAATAATAATCTAAACATTAATATATGTATATCGGTTTGTAATCTTATATCTTCGATGGGAATTCCTAAAATTATCATGATTAAAGAGAGTAAGAAATGATTAATTTCTATTAAAAATACCGAAAGATTTTTTTGTAGATTTCTTAAGAGATTTATAGTACTTACAGTTTAGGAATTTGTATTTTGTCAGTTTCGGAATTTCTTCCATAATCGTGCCAAGATTTTCTATTCGATTGAGTTTGTCCAGTTCTTATTGTTGGAGTCGTTTGTGGATCGTTGGGATGAAGTAAGGTTTGCGTTTGTGGTAATTCGTTATATTCAAAAATCTAGAAATTAAAATTGATATTAATTATTAAACATATTAAATAATCAATTTCGAATTAATTTAACATATAAATTAATTTATTTTTCCAGATATTTGAGTCATTTCGCCTTATTAAACAACGCTTCACTTCTTTGAATTATATCATCACTACGCGAATTATATACGTCTTTACTAAATTTAAATTACGTCACACGGCAATAAAACACGCGAATGAAGTCTTTTTTAAGATAAAGACTATAAATTTTAGAATTAAAACGCTTAATTTCAAAAGAAATAAATACATTTTAAAGTACGGTTGGCATCTAAACAGCACTTTTACATACAAAATATATATTTTTTTAATTTTAAAAAAATTTATCATTAAATTTTTATTAGAATATTCATCAAAAAATCTTGGTAGTATTTATCAAAAGATTTTAGAGTTCAACGAATCTTTGTGTCAACAGGACCAGTCTTAGTGATGAGGTTCCGCCAATGTCAAGGACAGGGTGATGGCCATCTGTCTCCAAGGGGCAGACATTAAAAAAATTTGAAGAAAAAAAAACTTTTTTTAACTACTCGAAAATGCTATTTACCTTTAGCAACAGGCCAGTGGCCGTAGGTACAAGCCCTAAAGGTTTAAATATTCTATGGACGTTGTACTACCTCATTTCCTTGGCTGATAACCTTTACACGTTTACTGATGATTTGCTGATTGAATGTTAAAATTTTTTCCTTTTTTTTAATATTTATCGATTTAAATTTTTTAAGATTTTTTTAAAGGAAAATAGGTTTAAAAGCACGTAGGATTTTTATATAAAAACTTAATAAAATTAATTTTATATTTTATGTAATATTTATGCTTCGAAGATTTTT